GTTTCTTTATCGTTTTCTCTCTATAGGGTCTGCATCACGTCTATCGCAGCTCATGAAACGAGTGGAAGTTTTGCCAGGAGATAAAAGAAATCAGCCTGCTTTTTGACAAAATAATTAGCGATGTCTTTTTGTAGGAATACCGAAGAGAAATTTACCGAAAAAAAATAACTGCAGGAGGCATACACATATCTGCGGTCATCTTATGACAACTGCGCTGCATGGCAAGTGTAGCGGCATTTCCGTTCCTCCTACGTGTGCTGTCACAATGCGCTCTCTGTCTTCATTGCAAATTTTGCTGAATATGGTAAATAATGTAAAATCGAAAAGGTGTATCGAAGATTAAAAAGAACGCGAGCCCTGCACGCAACGCGCAGCACTGTCCCCTGATTTTACAACTATTCATCATACGGAATTACTTTCAATTCTCATAGCATTACGAAAATCACCTCAATTCATGAGAGATACTATTATTCTAACGGACTGCCTGTCCGTGTGTACTTCATTAACGGCGCCTAATATGTCCAATGTTTTAGAAGTGTTTTACGCCCTTGCCCCAAGATATTTACGAGTCATTATCTTAGTGTGGATATTACGGCATAAAGATGTAACCCTCAATGATTATGCAGATGCACTTGCAGTGGCCTCACATACTTGTCCCATAATTTCTATATTGCCGGCACTAGCAGTTATCGTCGTGGGACGCTTTGGAAAGTTAGTCACATCGGATAATTTTGAAAAGTCTCGCTTGGCAACACCTGGAATTTTCTCATCTCAAGTACCCCTGAAAAAATCGATGGTGCCCCTCTATAAGAGGGGAGATATCAATTACGAGACTACGAATCCGATTCTTCCCTCCCCCTCTCCCTCCGCTGAGTTTTTATCTATACAAATCTCGTCTGGCGCAGTTTCCCCTGTGCCTCCACTAAAAAGAGAGTGAATCTATGCATCACTTCATCTTAACATGCAGCTTATTTATAAATCAAGAAAAATGACTGTAGGACGAACCCTTACATCCTCTCTGTAGGTTGGCTTTAAATTTATCCCTTCCGGTGGTGCTTTCTTCTGGAGCAACCGAAAGGGGATGTAGCGGCAAGAACGTTTGCGAAGCCGGTTGCGATTCACTGAAGGAAACAAAACGAATAGAATGTTGGGCTTAGGCATAAATTCACTTCATTTCCTACCATACTAGCTTTTAAAATTTTCTTATTATTACGTATATTTATTTTATTCAAATCCATGGTTCAGCAATCTATTCTCTGTTAAACATCCCTATCTAAACGTCCCACCTGTTAGAACAATTCTATCTCAAAGATGAGGTACCACCCGTTTTATGGCCGATAATCAGTGGTGGGTTGCGCCAGGACTCTGAGGAACAGCCAACAACAACCACTGTCACAGCGAAAGCACGAAGAGCGGCCTTTTCTTAACACTTTTGAGTAACTGCTACAAGCACACTTGCTGGGTACCCACTACGTCATAGATAATTATGATTGTTGTGTAGTAGCCAGGCTATCCTTCATCATTCTTTGGAGAAGCGTGGTATCCACTCTCCACTTGATAGCAAATTTTGCAATATTTTTATGCCATGGCTGATGACGAGGAAGAATTATGCCTGAAGTAAGTAAGTATGCGCTACAGTTAATAGGTGAACAAGAACAAGCTTTTGTAATGGGCTGGAATATTAGACAACCCACTCTTTACGCAACTCACATGGCTTGACGCTAGTTTGTTCCTCTGATGTTTTAAAACGCTTTATTACTCAAGATGGCGGGATTCTTTTCCCGGCTTCAAGCCTGCCTAAGGCCAGTTTTAAAACAAGTTTTAAGCACCGGTGTGGTCGAGCGGTAGAATGCCGCACTGGCGCGCAGAGGACATGGGTTCAAATCCCTTTGTGTGCTTACTGTCTTGTGTTTACTGGTTTTATCGTATTTTTTCGATTATTGCGTTCGGACACCGGCAGCGGTAGCCAAACATTAATGACAAAAAAGCTTGATTTATTATATATGAATCAGTTATCAAGTGCAGCGGTCGTTCTGGTAAATAATGCGGCATTTTTGATCATTTAGAAGAAAACGTGTTGATATAGGTAAATTAATGATTATTTTGACCAACTCTATGCAAGGGGTATAGTAATGGGATTAACGAAAGACATGTTGATGCAACGACGAACAACATTTAAGCCCAACTAACCTCGTTCTTGTGTTTTTCAAAGAAGCTGATTGTCTGCTATGTGAGTGCGCTACATGTTTCGCGCAGGCCTGATGCTTTCTTTTTTTCTCTGTCTCAGCACTGAAACATACGGACAATACTGATACGGGCTCACCTATGAATAAAACTTCCCTTTGGGTACGTTTAGGTGAAAGTTCGATCAGGCACAGTTACTATACACCCCACAAGCTTTATAACCACTTTGACAAAAGAAGGCTGTGAGATGTGGCGTCCATTTTTTTCTCTGTCATTATTTAGTTCTCAAAGGTACGATTAGGCCGCAAAACTGGGGCTTGTAGATTCGGAACGTGATGCCATAGCCCCTGAGCCACCCTAGAGTGATTGAAATCGCTCACACTCGAAAGCAAGATCTTTACCGTGTGCCCATGCGTGCGCTGTGCTTTCTATGTATCACGCTCTTTTCTTCCCACTTACGTTCTGAGTTTCATATTCTCTGTCATCTCACGTGTGCGACCCCGAACACAATACTTACGACCGCTTTGTCTTCCCTTTGATAAAATTTTTGCTTCAGTGTCTTGTTTTGCTGTATTGTGCGTACAAGCCCAACGTACGTTCATATAAGTCAGATACGAGGTAACTTCTAAGGACTCGAATGATGCCAACAATGAGCAAAAAAGCTCGGTGCTCCGCAACTGGAAGGCAACGCAGGATATGCTACTGATTACAAACATACCAGTGAACAAAAAGGGCGCGTGTAGGGAGGCGGCGAAACGTGAACAAAAGCAGGGCATGAGGCTGCGCCGCATGCACGGGTGTGTGCGAAATTTGGGAGAAGGGGCGCTATTCTATTTAGGATAGATGTCTCTTTTGGATTACTGTTATCCTTCCTCAGCAGGTTGAGTGTCACTTCCACCGCCCCTCGTTGCGGTGGATCTCTCGCTAAGCGTTCAGTGCAACATCTGCAGAAACACGAGATAGTTCAGGTAGCTTTATGTCTTGCACCACTTTGCCTTGCAAGTATACATGTAACTCCTCAATAGCTATTGCCCTTCGCTGACTCCGTCTCTCTACTTTGATACAGTGCTTGTTTAATTCAATGCAGCAGCGTAGTGTTTTCCTGTCGATGGAATGCTAGAAATGAACGATGCATTTGCGGCTAACCAGATTCAATTTCCAGGTTTTAAAGCAGGCACATCATGTGCGCTTCAGACAACAGCTTGGGTAACGATGCAAATACTAAATGCCGATGCAGTGAGCAATGCACTGCGTCAACGAGTTCAAAAAGACCGCTTAGATCACGGCCAGGCTGGGCTTCTTTCTTGTGGTGAAAAAAATTGTATGCAAAGATTGGTGCAATTTTCGTTTACGCTTTAAAACACACAAGGAGTGAAAGTGTATTAAGAATCTACTCAACGGAGTATCCTCGTATTTATTCCGTTGTTAAAATATTATAAACTTTTTTGTTCTGTTGACTTTTTTTTAATTTTCTTTTGTGCTGGGTTGAATCATTTTTGTAATAATACAAACAGACGACGTGACATGAAAGCTTTTAGACTGATCTGCAGGCGGCGTGGCGGAATGAGCCAAACGTCGACTAGATATAGAACCACTCGAACTAAAGAGCGATCATTTTACAATAATACACCAGCGGCTGCAGTTGCTGAACTTCATAGTCCAAAGAAAAACCCGTTTGCACAAACCGCTGTGGTGTCAACACACTCCGTCTCACCTGATGTCCGTTTAGAGCCTCAGAATGCTGAGGCAGAAGAAGTCAGCAGAATGGAGGTCCAACAGACGCGATTCCGTTTTGTCTGACTTTTCAGTCTTTAACATCAGGACTTCAATAAAAATACACTTAGCAAACTAAGTCGTTATAAAGGCGGGATATATGTGCTCTTTGCGGAATGGTGTAATTCTTGTGGCTGTAGAAACCCGTGGCTTGCGATTTCGTTCAAGTTCAAGCAAAAGATCACCGAAAAATTCACGTTATGCCGCAACGCTAGGAAGCGCTGAAGGGCATTTGCCTCTGTGTTTAACTCTTACGGAAAGAGCCACGCGTCATCCGTACATAAACAGCGGAGTGATTCCACGTTATACATACATATATAAAGTAAGACTTGACGAGCATGCCTGGTGGTGTCTTATCTACCAGTTTCGGAATTCCGCGCTTCTGCCTTTGAACTCTGGCAAGAGTTTGTTTGCCTGCACGCACGTGGTCACGTCCTTTTTGTTGGTGTCCATGCAGAACGCAATGGTGAAGAATATTTTTGCGTGTTGTGATTTTAGTCCAAAATAACACCGATTACGTTTATATTTAATGAACACTCGCTTGTTATCACTCGCTTCATTCCTGTAGAACTATTAAGAAGCAGTCAGGAAATCAGCTTACAACGATGCTATTGTGAGATGAGTGCACGTTCCTCTGACGTTTTATCAGTATTATACATATATTATTATATCTTAGCAGTGTTACGTATTATATTGTAGCACAGCTTTCGCACCCATTTCTATAAGTCATGAATGCTTTCAGCTCACCTGTGTTTCTGTTTATTGTGGTCCTATCCGAGAAAGAGAGCGAAAAGACATTTATTGGGTCCAAACTGCAGAGTTTGAGGTGCTGATCCATCCACCTCCTGGCTATATATCTATGCCGCGAACTTTAGGAACCTGCGACATTATGAGAATTGTGAGGCCTGTACACGCGGTGACGCTTGCCTCATTATTGTGTGAGCATGTGCTCGACATTCCTTAAACATGGAAATCTGTGGCAGTCAGCGTCTTAAGTGCAGTACATGGTGTCACGTGTGAACTGTACTTTCTTCTCCACATGTCACGCAGCATGGGCCGGACAGCATTCACAGCTGGTGCACGGCGGGCGCCTGTGCCTTGTCAGCCTTCTTCGCTCTGGCCCCGTTGCGGGCCTTCGGCGTCCTTTTCGTGGCCATTATGCAGGAGTTCGGCGCCAACAGAGAAGAGGCCTCGTGGACAATCATGCTACTGGGTGGTGGGAGAGTGCTGTCGGGTGAGTGCATAACCACTTCTGTGGCTGCAGGCTGTAATGTATGCGCCTAAATAATGCACGAAAAATGTTATAACAGTAATACAAAAGAATCGCCCTGTTTTCCCACGCCAAGCTTTGAAATTTGTCACCGTTGTATGGGTAAGGTACAAAACAGCACACACATATATGCGCACAAAATTACTCTCAAACAAAGATGCAGAAAAGAAATCGCATCGGAAAAGTTTGCAGTCATAAAAGATGTACTGGGTTCATCATTGTATATAAAAATTGAATTTATGGTGACCTCAAGCGTACGGGCAAAAGCAGAAACAAAGAGAACATCTAATTAGATTGGTCTTTTCCTTGTTGGTTTATGAAATTTTCAATTCTGCGAGCACTGTAATTTTCAAGTCTGTGAGCACTGTTAAACTGTAGATCTTATGAAAGCTGCATATACAAATTCATCGCACTAGAGTACATCTTTCCATACAACACCTTGAAGGAATGATGTGCAGACGTCTTGTTATTTAACGATCAACTGCATATACAAATTCCTCGAATTAAAGTGCATCTTCCTATACGGTACCGTAAAGGAATGATGAGTGTACGTCTTAGTATTCAACGCTGACCCGACAAATAACAAAGAAAGTCGACCACACGCAATGCGTCTGTGCTCACTTCGTATTGGTACCCTACAGCACAGAAGGCAGTAGCAATAAAATGAGTCCAGCGTGTTTACTAGTAAGGCACTACTAATGATAACAATATCCGTTTTATCAGTAGTTACGTGACAAAAACTGTCAACAGCACTATCGACCCTTAGTTTCATAGTACAGTATCGATAAGGTAATATCAACTACGCAAGCTCAATTCAGCATCAACTGAGTTTCTCCAGTGCCTCGCAAATGGAGGAGCAATAGGAGCACGCTGAAAAGCAGAAACGCTGACAGGCTCGCGTTCTTTGAGCAGAATGCTTCACTGGCACATTGCAATAAGGTTGAACTGTTCATCTGTAGCGACAAACTAGCCGTTATATAATTATATATGAGAGAACTGCCAGCCCTCAAATTCAAGTTACATTCTCTGACTTCAAAGAAAAAATATCAAACTGCAATGGTTCGGGTTTCACCGTTCACTTTCCAACCTAAGAACATCAACAGCTAAGTTTGTTCGTTTTCAGGTGTAAGTGACTGTTTTTGGCCACAAATTTCTTGGATGGCCATGATCCAGCATTTCCGCTGCCGGAATAAGTTAATTATTTTCCCAAAAGAGTTTCTGTAAACGAACTCAGTATTGCTGCACTCGGCTCTTGGGGATGTTTTGGCATTATTCTCAACCGAAACAACATAATTATTGACTCCCCACTCAATAGTATTACCTGAAAAAATGGTGCCAATGCTTTATTGGTAATCCAACCGATGATTTATTGATAGCATATAGAAGTATTACGTACAGTTTTGTTACAGTAGCTAGAGCTTGAAGGAACCCGTAACGAATATTTATGGTACCTGTTTTCATGAGTGCAACAAAAAGCTTACCAGTCAAAGCTTGTAATCATGGAACGGTAACGCGAAAAACTCCGCAAAACATTTATAATCATATTTTTTTTGGCAAATATGCAGTCTTAAGGAGGTATGCTGCAAACAGTGGATGTGATCGCTATAGCACTTTATACGCCAGTGTAACGCCAGCAATGATGAAAAGTGAAGACCTAAGCACAAACACGTAATGGTGTGTTTCTCAAGACTGCGGTCCCGTGACCACTGCTTTATAGCGGGCTAAATTATTTTACAAAACTACAGCACTTTTCCGGGGCTCTTTATGCAAGGACTTTTGGTTGCGAATAGATCGTTTTTTAGACTTTAGCCATGTCTAGCTAAGCCAGGTCTTCGAAAACAAAACTACGCGTTTACACGTAATCGACAATTCACGCATAGTAGTGCAGTTGGATGTATTCAATAAGACATCGCTTGACAACTTGAGCGAGTTAGAGGAATGAGTTTTGGCTCTCATGCAAGCGAAAATTTGGACCCCTATTAGGTAGGACGAGAGTGACATGCTTCGACGGATGACAGCGGTAGCGATGAATCCGACGAAACGCCACCATCGCCACCACCAGCAGCACGCATGAAGCTATTCTCCACAGAGCAGTAGGTCCATGGCATTTCGCGTGCCGCAGCAATCGCATTCAGAAGCTCGCGTGCTTCTTCCGACGCGCCCGACCCGGCGGGAACCGAGCTACTCTGGAAACCCCACGTGGTTGCGCGCATGCGCAACTGCACCCGTTTCTCAGCAGAGGCCACGAAAGCAGCGCCACTTTTTATGCGGTACTTCAACTACTAAGCCGAATAGAAACAAACGAAAATGAACAATAACAAACATATTAGAAATTTAAGCCCTTATTTCGGTGCGCTTTAAATAAACACAGCAAAGTTCTTAGGAATTCATATTTGTTTTTCAATGCTCTAGTGCTAGGGGCGCAAAATTCTGGTATTGGTTAGTTTTGAACGCGATTCAAAAATATACATCCTACTCAGATGGCGAAAAGTTTGCTGCTACCTGCCACCATAATTCTTGCTCTTTTATTTTCCACCTGAATCTAATCACCCGTTTTAGCCAGTTCTGAGTTCCTTTAAAGCAAGATATTGGTGCTATCGATAGTCCGTTTAAGGAGAGTTGTCTGTCAACAGTATCTAATCAATTTATTGATATTGTTTTTTTACACTCTATTGGGGTAATATGCGTTGAATACATCAGCATGATGAACTGCTCATGGATGCCATACGCGGGTTCTCGTGTGCATGCACGCTTTCCTGTTCAAGTGATTGATAGTGAACACCAGGCGTTGCTCCTCGTAGGTCTGCTGGCTGGTCCCCTTGCGCACCGTTTCACGACAAGGCCGGTCATTCTCTTGGGCAGCATCATTTCAGCTGGAGGCGTCATGCTGGCCTACTTCGCTACAAACATGTGGAGCCTACACCTTACGCTAGGCATTGTTCATGGTGAGTGCACAGCGCCGTGGTGAGGCAGTGTCTTTGTAGCTGTCGTGCTTTAGGCGAATGCTCTTGATAATAAAACGTAAACAATTGAAGTGACCCCCTAAAAGGAGTTGTAAAAAGTGGTCGAATTTCCAATGTTATAAAACAAAACAAAGCAAAGTGACGTTTCTGGATCCGTGACAGTACCTGGTTCACAATTGAATGTCGCCTGAGCGGCAGGCTTCCAGGTATTGTGGAGCGCATCACACAAACTGCGGGGTCACACGTGATTTGGGGCGTCAGATGTGTGAATTATCAGTATATTCGAGATTTAGCCTAGTTGTCAAGTTCTTCTTCGTGGCCATTGTTCGCATGCTTTTCCATCTGACCTCGTGTTCCCGCATGTTCCCGCATGGTCTTCTTCGCATGCTCTGCATGGTCCTTGGTGGAGTCTTTTTTATGCTGCTGCTTCAGACGCGTGCAGAAATTTGCGCTTTCACTGATTTATGCCGAATTGCAGTATTTGCATAGGATCTTGTAGACGATACCAGGGAGGCTTGCAGGAGGGAGTTTTTTCCATTAAGGAAGTCACCCTAAAGCTTGCTCGTTGGCAAACGCCCGATATGCACACTACGTTTTCTGAACACACGTCACCAAATACATTTCTGCGCACGATGGCTTCAAAAAACACTGGAAGGAAAAAGTCTGAAAGAGTGTCAAACTGCTAGCGTCAAAAATACCTAACGCACTTAGCTGAGACCTTACCGTCAATAAGTTGAACAATACGTCAATGAACCCTTGAGATCAAATAATGGACGGCTTTTTGAAATAGTCAAAAGGGCATCGAACAGCAGTTTATCCACGTTTCTTTAAAAACGCGTTGCAATGCTTTCCCATGCCTCCTATTAGGATTTCATGGGAGTTGAACTGCACGAAACATCGTAACATCACGGCAAGAGAGCTTAAAGCCAGCTCATGTAGAGCAGCTTGTGTTTCTGCATAACAATTCATAACTTTTTGGTAGCAGTCACTCCACGCGCTGTGTGCTTGGAGACATAGCAGAAATGTTTTCTTGTTTTTCACCATATTGTATAGGATATATTTCACTGGGTATTTCATTCTATAGTCTCTATTTCTGGCCACTATGCAGCACTATTGCATTCTAATTTAATTCTAGATGACATTTCACCATTCGAACACCCTCCTCTTGAAACAACAAAAGAGGCGTAGCTCGACGTAGGCTTCTGTGTATTCAGGCTTCTGTGCATCAATTGTGGGGCAGCTGCAGTAATGAAATGCTAACTAGCCAGTCTGTGCTGACGACATCTTCAAGAGTAGTAAGTAAATTGAAGATGTCGTCATCATTAAAAACCTACTTTGCACTGTACTTTCACACGGCAAAGAAAATATCTACAAGAACGGTGTCGGGTTATTGTATTGCGCTCAGTATTACAATGACACAAAGAGTGAAATGTCAACAAACGCAGCAGACACTCCTTTCATGTTGTAATATAACATGTCTACATAAATTGTGATTGTGTGTCTGACGGTGGCGGGAGTAATCGGAAGCTGTGCATGACATGGTGGCCTGTGACAGCGGTCACTTGCCCTTGTTCGCTCTGGCGAACTACCTCATCATGTACAGGTGTGCGTGCGCAGGGTTTCCAGGAGGGGGGAGGGTGAGGGAGCGATGGGTGATCGCAGCGCCCCCTTCCTTTTATGCCAATCAACGGGACTGACTTTCCGTCTCTCCCCATGAGTCACAGTGCCTCCTGTTATATGTTATAGAAAGGGCCCAGTTTGCGCCTCCCTCTTAATGCCGAGAAGGGCAGGTACCCCCCTGCCTCCTCGTGCGCATGCCTGTGTCATTATGAATGAGTGACATCGACGGAGTGCTTAAGCACTTTTACGCAGGTGGAATCAGACGTCAGGTAAAAAGCTTTCTAAACTAGAAAATCAAAATAAGTATATAAGGAATGCTTAGCACTTTCTAAGAATGTGAAGTAGAAGGCCTACTTGGACCTTTTCTTGATCTACTGTTGAAATTTTCGCTGGTGCACTCAAATTCAGAATAAACTGCTTCAAATGGGACGGTTCGAGTTTTTTCGCGCTTTTTTCGAACATGCAAACGGTCTACTGATGTGCTGGCGAAGTTTATGCCCAACTTAGTGCTGATGTTTTGTCAAGTTTTATAGCGACCCACCTGTAAATAATATTTTGGAACTGCGTAAACTTTCAATTAGGTTTCCGAGTATCTGCATATTAACAATTATACACACTTTGCTTACTTTTTAAGCTTATAAAATAGCATGTGTGGAGAAATCAAGTTGGGTTAACTTTACCTTCTGCCCATGTCGTGCGCAACTAATGCTTTACTAAGATCCAAGAAAATCAAGTGTGTAAGCTATCAAACAAATTTACCTGTAAGAAGCAACAACAAACTTACACTGTGTACTGTGTACAAATTAGAAAACTCACTGAGGTTTACCTCCTGTATGCTTAGCATTTATGGGTGAATGTATGTATGGCTTCCTACCACAATGACCATTTAAACAGCGTACACCCTCAGTATCTTCGAGCCTGGCCCGCTTACGGGATTTTTAAGCTTTCGTATGACTTACCAATCTGGCCTCCGTTCGCTCCTGCATTTCAACAGGCGTATTTGCCTTTGCTTAGGCTTTATAAGCCTGTTCTTGCGATATGTACTGGGCAATTGGATTCAACCTGTCGCATGTGCCGCAGTACATGCACGGATCACCAAGCGCCGGCAAAGCAGCTGCTAAACCTTTGCCTAGCCACTAGGTGCCTCGGCAAGAGAGTCTCCGAGCACGCGCAGCTGCTACGCCTTGCGTAGCACATTGCTACGCACATGCAGGGGCAAAAAGAGCAGCAGCTGCTGGAGTAATTGGCTGAGAGCCATAAAGATTTTGTGTTTCTCCCTAGCTGGCTCCTCGAACCATGAGTCTCTAAAACCCCTTGATCCCAGGAAAGTAACGAAACTCTTCTCCACGCACGTTTCGTCCTCGATTTTTTGCGCCCGTTTACAGTACGCGCGGCGCCATTTTTTGCCGACACTCTCGCTGGGGCGCCGCAGCATTCAGTGGAGGTGATTTATTTGCGGCAGCTTGCGCACCAACGTAGTGCTGAAAATTATTTTAATGGTGATAATAAAAGTAAGAACGCTGAGGCAACTGTTCAATAAAGAATCAGGTTTTTCCAAACGTCGTCTAAGTGGGGCATGCTATATTATTATAAAAGTTTTTATCGGCATTCTACGATACAGTTTTTCTGCCGTCTGATAACGAGCTGCACGTTTGCATCTGATATAGTTCGGCTTGTGGCTTCTTCCGTCTGTGTTCGGATTTTTTTTGCGTGCTTTTGCGCAAGTGTAAGACATGGGTAATTACAGCGTCACATATTGCAATGACTTCGTGCATGGAGGATCGTTCAGCCACGTGTTCATCTTCTCGGCGTAAAAGTAGCTTTGTGCAGCGGTCTCCAAACTGAAGAAGGCCTTTGAGGAATCTCAATACGATTAAGTGTTGCCAACATTGACTCATCTACCACAATAACAGAAACATAAGAAAATGAATATTTAGAACTACGTTTTCACGTTTTTGTCAAAGAAACTAGCAAGAGGGTTACTTGTGAGAGGAGAAACTCTGCATCAGGAATGTCATCAAATTCTGCGCGTCGATAGCGAGGAAAAAAATTCTATTAGGACTGAGTGATTCAAGTCTGAAGTGCCCATGTAACACGGCAAGTATAAGAGGTAATATAAATTTTTTTTTTGAGAATGAAAGACATGCTAATGCAGGTGTGACCAAAAAAATTGTGGCCTAGATAATGGCTCACTCGCTATCACCATGCTAAAGCTTTTTTTTTTCGTTGCACCTTGGGAGTTTTTTTCTTTCAATAGACAACATCTCTTTCAAAAATTTTGTGTTAATGCCCCCTCCAAAAACAAATAACAAAATAAATATCATTATAAAAACGTGCGCCAATCACTGTCATCTTTATTCATTCATTCATTCATCCATTTGCTTGTTTTCTCCACCAAACGTTTTCGTAAACAAATCCTAACAATCACAAAAGGCGCGATCGAGAAGCTGTGTCATCCTACGTAATTGTTCGCACAGAAAGCAAACTACAGTTGTGCATTTTCGACAATTATCAAGGTGCATGCGAGGTGAAGAAGTATGAACTAACTATTTTTATTTATTTTATTGATCTATTTCAACATACTGCAGACAAGCATTTCGGTCCTGGAAAGATGGGCATAAGACACGTCAAGTGATTCGTAACAGCAAAAAAAAACATGTATCCATACGCTAACAGAAGTGGCATGTCTGCGAAACAGCAACAAAATTTATAACACATTTGAGCACTCTAATTACCAAGTACATATCGTCCCACCGACATAGCAAAATTGTAAGCCGAAAAAATCTCCTGAGCCAGTGAATTGCATTCATCAACTGTTACGGGAAATTAACTGTATTTGTAAGCATTACTTCGTTCAAATATCAGTGCCAAGGATCGATCATGTTTACGGCGGGTATTCCCAGCAGTGGCTGACTGAACGCAACAAGGTACATTTAGGGCAAATTTCTTTGACATAACGTTTCTAAAAAAACGTTAAACGATTCCACTTTCTCCTTGTTTCTAACAAAGAAATTCAGCCAATTGATGACCATTCCACTTTGAAGCAACGCGCGAATAGCCGAGAAAAGAGAGAGAGAGATAAAGATGCAAGGAAAGGCAGGGAGGTTGACCAAACGCATATCCGGTTTGCTACCTTGCACTGGGGAAGGGATAAAGGGGAGAAAAGAGGTTGTAGAGAGATGAGAAGGTACACAAAATCACGAGCACACTCGGGGAGCACACACAGTCTACAGGCGGTCGCTCAGGTTTGTTGACTTTAGGTAAATTAGCAGTGCTTTAGTTGCTTTCTGCGCAACTGAGGCAGATACCCAAGGTCCTAGTATCTTCTGCACATAAAATGGTCCGGGGTCAAGTTGATTTAA